GACCCATAAAGTTGCCAACTTTAAGGAATCCCAACACTCTAACTCATCTAACCATGAACAATAATGCATAAAAATCTAGATTTAGCAACAAGAAACCAAAAATCATGAAGCTTGAATACTCACAAGGGTCCAGAGAAGTTGTTAGAGGATGGCAACGAGGCTTACAAGCTGAATCTATGCTCCAAAGATGGTCCCTTAACCTTCAAGTCACCAATACTCCACCAAATGCTCAAGAATTCATAGATGGGGTTACGATTTCGTTGGAAATGATTGGAGGCTGGAAAAGATACCCTAGTTCATGATTGAAGATCCTTAAATATGGAAGAAACTATAAAATTCGTGGGCTTAGGCTGCAACCATCTTCACGGCGTCACCACTCTCTTGTCACGTCGTGAAAGGCCCTCTTGGACACATATTTCATTTTTCACTTGTCACGTCGTGACGTCTTATGGTCACGTCGTGACACCCGGTTTACCCAAAAACCATGTCTTTAACCCCTTGAAACCCTAAACCAATTCGCTCTAGAAACTAGGTGTTATACCAAAATTAAGTCATATTCAAATTTTCTCATGATGTCTTAGGTGTGCAATATATTTTATAACTTGATGTCGATCAAGACGTTAATATCGATTGTACTTTAACTTTTTTAAAATGAACCATAATTTTTGTTGTTACAAACCGTAATAATTAGGAAGAAAACGTCTTAATTACAAAGAAATAAATAAATAAATAAACAAGATCATTATGATCTACAAATAAATGCTTAAGATCACAAACATAATATCATGAGGGTAACCTTTTTAATTCAAGCTCATCGATGAAGTGGTGATACTCAATGATGCTTCTTAAATCCTGTGATGCTCGATTTCAAGTTAAATAGACGAATTTTTGAGACTTGACTATATAATAAAACCAAAGAGGTATGTTCAGATCGTTTTTAGATCTTAAGATTCTAGTTGGGATCCTAAGATCCCACTATAAATCCTGCTTCAAATAGATCATAGTGAGATTGAAATCGTTTTTGACTTGTAAGATCTTAAAATCGTAAGATCTTAAGATCAAGATCAGGATCTTAACAGCCATGAGAAAAACTGCATTTATTAAGTGACCTACATTCTGCACTCTGCACTTTGACATAGGGGGTGTGCAACCTCTATTAAGGGTACTTGATGTTGGAAAATACCCGTTAATATAGCCATCATATTATTTTGTACTGTTTTGATGTGTTAGGTACAATTATATTGTGTACCATAATATTTTTCAGATGACATATTAGGTCCCTTGGATTAATTATATATAGTATGATGGATATGACATTTGTACATAGGTTGAGAGACTAAATTTGTGTGGTTCTAAAGACTTCCCCATAAGGTGTAAAATTGATCATTAACACATTATAAATACATAGGGTATAACATGTGAAGCTATATCAAACGTTTATTCTTCTCCTCTTCAGTTCTCTCTACAAAAACACTGTTATCTATTGTGTGAAAATCCATCCATCGGATTTGATCAACAAAGACACCATTACGGGAAGTTTAGTAGGATCAATGAGCACCATCATCTTCACTCCACTGAAATTATGTTTCCCTTCAAGTAAGTATTCTTCATCTTTTAATGTTTATCAAGCAATTGAGAAATCGATCTTGGATTAATCTCACACTTGATTCTTGAGAAAAAAAAAACTAATATCCGATCACATATTTCTTCCAAATTTTAATTATAATCTTATAAAAGATAATTAAGCTTATGAATGAAGTCAAATTGTTAAAGAACTGCATAGCGGTATTTTGATATTCTATTACAAATATGTGTTAATGACAATAGATGGTGTTTAAAAGGTATGGGGGCTTAAAAGAAGGGAAAATAGCTTGGATTCCATTAAGGTGATTATTATCCAATACATATCCCATAAAAATATATTGGACCAACAATGATAGTAAAACATTTAATCATAAAAAATCATTGATAGTTATGATGAGAGAGGGTTTGAAATGGGGACTTAATCCGAAAAAACTTTCGCAATCAACTAGATCCAACAAATGGTCGAAAACATTTTAATATAAAAACTACACCCAAAGTCGCATGTTGATACATAATCGACCTCAACGATAATTTTGAATAAATTCCAGCGGAAGCCCTCTTAGTCGGCCGTTGGAAGGGACGAAGGAAATGAGCGACATGGTCTTTTGGAAAAAGTGTATGTGAAGTGACGAACATCTAAACACTTGTGGAAAAGTTCGACAAACATCTTGACTTGCTAAAGAAAAAAATTAAGATTGAAATAAGGCGAGATTTTGATAGCTCGGGAACACCCAATCTTAACTGATATGCAAGTTTTTAAGATGTTGAAAGAGTATGTTGAGTCGGAAGACTTCGACACGATTTTAACAGTAAAATGGAAAATTCACAAGAACTATGAAAATTTGTAATTTTTATTTAAGTTTAATGTAGTTTTTCTTAGAAGTCAATCTATTTTTATTTTCTTCCATTCATGTAATTTATATTTATTTTTAAAAATATTTATTTAATTGTATGAAAATAATTTTTTTCTATTTAAATAAAAAATGATATAGATGATGTGGAGCAACCCCTGTTTTTTTAGGTATGTTGTGTGGAGTGGTGATAACATGAAGTTATTTTTGCAACACTCTATTGTGGGGGAAGGTGGGTATACCCAAAGCCTAAAAGGGTAAAAGAGAAGTTGTCGTATGAATGGAAATGTCCCATTCTTATAAACTTATATCTTAAACCTGGTCACATCCTTGCGAATATCCGGTTAGTAAATAGCCATCGAGTTTGTGGATAGACCCACGGATAACAGGTAGTCAGGTACCAATTTGTGATCTTAAAAGGGATAATGACTTAAAAGGGTAATATATTTTTCGATTTGTACACATTTGGTCACTGAGTTTTTTTTTCGTCCACATTTACCCCTTCAACTTGTTAAACTGTACACATCCAGTCCTTATGACCGGTTACTCCAGGTTAGCCGGGAAAAATGACTTATTAGGGTAATATATTTATCATTTTGTACACATTTAGTTCTTAATATTTTTGTACACATTTAGTCTTTAATATTTTTTTTGTTTCAAAATAAGTCATTTTTTGTTTTTGTACCAATTCAGTACTTATGAATGATTTATTTAGGGTTTTTCTCACGACATCTAACATGGGACTATCATTGATGACAGGGACGGTTCTCTTTGGGTGCCCGTAGTGGCACCGACAACCCCTGTTTTTTCTATACGCAGTGTAAATTTTTCGATATTTTTTTTTTCTTTTTTCAACGGACCGGCAACACCTACTACCAAATCTTGCGTCCGTCCCTGATTGATGAGGTGTTTGGGGCTGTTGATGCTTATGTCCATCGCAGCCTCGACTGCTTGTTGCATATGTCTTGTGGTTTGGCTTAGGTTTTGTATTCCGAACGTCGTAACTTCTTTATACGATATCTGATTTTAACGATCTTTATATCTACGTGTTCGTTTTTTTAAGTCTGCTATGACTTTCGTTAAGATTACTCCCGTTAAAATATAATATGTTTTTACTTATGATTTTATAAAAAAAACATCCATACATGTATTCATAAAAAACGTATGGATATAAAGATCGTAATTAAAAAATATATTACTTTTTAACGGGAGTAATCTAAACGAAAGTTGTAGTAAACTAAAATACAAACGCATAGATATAAAGATCGTTAAAATCCGAGATAGTATGAAAAAAGTTATGACGTTCAAAACACATGACCTAAGCAACCAAGTAGTCGAGATCGCGATGGACATAAGCATCAAAAGCCTAAAACACCTCGTTAATGATTGTTCCATGTAAGATGTTGTGAGAAAAACTTAAAGAAAACATTCATAAGTATTGAATGAGTACAAAAACAAAAAAAAAGATTATTTTGCAACAAAAAAAATTAATGATTAAATGTGTACAAAAATATTAAGGACTAAATGTATACAAAATGAGAAATATATTACCCTATTAAGACATTTTTACCGGTTAACCTGAAATAACCGGTTATAAGGACTGAATGTGTACAGTTTAACAAGTTCAAGGAGTAAATGTGAATAAAAAATAAACTCGGTGACTAAATATGTACAAATCAAAAAATATATTACCCTTTTAATCATTATCTCGTCTTAAAATATTGAAGTTTCATGTTAGGAATTTTTATTGTCGAAACCCCAATCACAATTTCATTCAACAAAAGACTTGAATTTTTGATAATTTCAACTGCTACGAAAGTTTTATATCTAACAAATGTTATCAACGACCATCACAATACGAAAAAGTAATTATATAACAAGTTTTCTATTTTTATAATCATATATGATCATAATAATAATGTTTGAAATCGTATATTAATAATAAAAATATATATGAACTACAAATATACATAAAAAAAACAAATACGCTAGTGAAGAGAGGGCAAACCAGCAAAGATACAATCCTTGTATTTTTGAGGCTCGTTGTATTTCTCCTAAGAAATACATACACATACGATCCTTCTTTCAAGGGTTTTAAAATCCTTACATAAAGAATAATGAACATGAATTCTTGAGATTTAAAAATGAATTGTGCGAAGAACCATGTAAAAATACACAATCGAGAAACCCAATTTAAACTTAAGTATATTTGTCAATTTGCATTATATATATATATATATATATATATATATATATATATATATATATATATATATATATATATATATATATATATATATATATATATATATATGCAAGAATATGATTTTAAAATATTTAAAACATCCTTTTAACATCAAAATAAACCTTTTTAGTTTTTACACCAACTCGATTAAATCACCCATATCGTACTCTACTCCTTGTTCCCCACGCTACAGCAACCCATGAGGCCATGACTGCAACCTCTTTGTACAAGACGGCCTAAAACCTAAAATAACTGCAACCCTCCCATGGCGCTTACCCAGAGTTCAAAACCCAATCTCCGACGAAAAGGGTTTTCAAATTTCAACAAGGACGAGATATCGGACCCACCGGCGACCGGAAACCACCTTCAACCACGTCGTCGTAAACACAAAAGTGAAACGCCACCTTCGTCCCCTGCTTCTCCGCCTTAGCACAATCCTTGCATAATGCTCGACTCCTTCCGCCGTAAATGGCCGCGTTTAGCGGCGGATAGATTACATGATTCCAGTTCTGAACCGCGTTTATGTAACTCTCTTTCTGCATCTGGAATTCGTACGAACCGATTCCGTATACAGACAACATTTGTTCGTCGATTAAATCAATCGGATTCCGTCGCAGATGCAATAAATACTCCGGAGAAATCGACGGAGCGATTGCAAAACCGTACTCTAAACCACTCTGTTTGTTAAGTTTCCTCCGGCGATCTCTTCGTGAACGTTTCAACACCACAAGGAAGTAACAATTCCTCTCTCGAACAAGAACAGAGAAGTTAACCTTACCTGTGATCAGAATCTTCCGTCGTTCCGATGGGATTTTGGATTTATCGCTGTCGACCAAGTAAGTTGTTAGATTGTTATACGAAATTCCGATGGTTTCCTTCAACATCATCTGAAATTGCTTGAAATCAAGGGAGTTGTGAATCTTAATGCTGCCGACGTCCGTTTCACGTTCGCCGTTGTATAATATCACCGGAAACACCACCGATTCCTCTGTTGACTCGACCATCTTTCTGGATCAGGCTCTGAATTAGATAAAGTGGTTTCCAGGAATCTTGATAAAAGTTTGAGCTATGACAGGTGATATATGTATAGTTATATACAGTAAGAGGTGGGGTTTTCTTTAAGGCGGTTTGAGGGTATAATGGTAATTTCAGGGTAGCTTCGGGATTCTTATCGTAGACGTTGCTTGGGCCACAGGTAATGATAAGTGAAATTGGATCGGTGGCGCGTGAATGTCACGCGCTAATGCTGTTTTGTGGTTGTTTCTATGTATAAAATACCCGAATTTATCCTTTTGTGTGTGATGTGTCAAATGACGATGCTGCCCTTGGAATGTTTGGAATTTGGAAATTCCAATTTTTTTTGGATGTCCAAAATCTCGAATGTTGAAGACAAACTAAATTTTTTGTAGTAGACTACCGATAGTCAATGATCCTAAATAACTTAACGCTTAAATAATTATAAACAAGAGGTTATGATTTGTATGATTTGAAAGTGTACATCACTAATGTTAAGAGATTTTATTAAAGACATGATCCAATGATGATACCAAAATAACCATAGCGATAAAATGCTTAAATGATATCATATTAAAATTCAAGTTTGCGTAAATGATATTGGATGAATTTATTAGAAAATAGTTACCGAAACAGACCCGGAATGATACATTACAAAAACTAGAAAAATAGATAATCGAACAATAAGCAATGTTGCAGAACTTCCTATTTTCAATGGATTGGAGAGCAGCGAGTATCCAGGTGGGGAGTACTCGGATATGGTTTTTATAAAGAAATTAATTTTGGGAAAATTATACAGGGAAATCTTCAGAAAATTCTCATTTGGGAAAATTTTAATAATATCATAAATTATTTTTTTGAATAGAGAAGTCCCGACTATTTCACTTTTTGAATAAAAAAAACCCAAAAAATTGGATAATGTATTCATTTTAGCCGTTTTGACCTGTTAAACAGATAATGAGACTAAATCGTTAATTTTTCCAAAATAATAGATCTTTTCTACAAATTACGTTAAAATTTGTATATAATTTATAAACGTATTTTTTTACATATTTATATCTATTTTTACGTATTTATGTACTTTTTTTAAAAGTTTTTATATGTATAAGTTTACATATTTTTATTTATTTTAATGTACAGACATATTTTTTACGTATTTATATGTATTTTTAAGTATTTACATTTTTATGTAGTTTTATGTGTTATTTTTTTATGTATTACGTATATATATGTATTTTTATGTATTTGTGTATTTTTAAGTTTTTTATATTGATGTTTATGTATTTTAAATGTATAAACGTATTTTTTACGTAATTATATGTACTTTTAAGTATTTTACATTTTTTTAATGTATTTTTATGTGCTTTTTTATGTATTACATATTTATATGAATTTTTACATATTTATATATATTTTTTTAAATTTTATATATACATGTTTATTCATTTTTATATATTTTAAATATATAACCGTATTATTTTTACGTATTTATATGTATTTTTAAGTATTTTACATATTTTATCTATTTTTATGCGTTTTTATGTATTTATATCAATTTTGACATATTTATGTGGTTTTTTAAGTTTTTATATGTATATGTTTACGTATTTTTATATATTTTATAAATATGAACATATTTTTTTACATTTTTATATGTATTTTAAGTACTTTACATAAAATATGTAGTTTTATATGTTATTTTTTATGTATTACGTATTTTTATGTATTATGTATTTTTTAAGTTTTTTATTGGATGAAATGGTGGAGACAACTTCAAGTAAAAATACATAAATATATAAAAATAATATGGTTATACATTTAAAATATATAAAAATACATAAACATCTATATAAAAAACTTTAAAAAATACATTAATACGTAAAAATATATATAAATACGTAATACATAAAAAAATATAAAAATACAAAAAAAATGTAAAATACATATAAATATGTAAAAAACGCGTTTATACATTTAAAAATAAAAAAATACATAAACATCTATATAAAAAAATATAAAAGTATACATAAATACGTATAAGTACATATAAATTTGTAATACATAAAAAAAATCATAACAATAAATAAAAAAATATGTAAAATACTTTAAACTACATATAAACACGTAAAAAAAATAATTTTTATACATTTAAAATACATAAATATTTATATAAAAAACTTTAAAAATACATAAATACATGATACATAAAGAAATAACACATAAAACTACATAAAATATGTAAAATGCTTAAAAATACATATAAATACATAAAACATACTTTTATACATTTAAAATACATAAACATATACATATGAAACTTTAAAAATATATAAATATGTAAAAATAGATATAAATATGTAAAAAATATATATATTTCTACATTATATACAGATTTTGATGAAATTTGCAGAAAAGTCTCAATTTTTTGAAAAAAAAATAACGATTTAGTTTTATGACCTGTTGAACATGTCAAAAAGACTAAAATGAATAAATTAGTCGGTTTCTTGAGCTTTTCAATTCAAAAAGTTAAATAGTCGAGATTTTTCTGTTCAAAAAAATAATTTAGAACTTTATTAAAAAATTTCCCAAAATGTTATGACTTTTCTGGAGATTTCCGAATTTTATATATGAAGAGTTAAAAGTTTATTAAAATTCATAACAAAGTATGTGAAATATATATAAAAAAGATACATGTTTGAATGTTAAACTAGTTCAAAAAAATAAAGATTTCTATACACGAAAATCTTGAAGATGAGAGAGAGAGAGAGAGAGAGAGAGAGAATATACAATTCGTTTATGTAACATCTATAATTTTCAGGTATTCGCTTTTGACCCTTGAATTGTGATTTGTTTGCATGAATAATCCCCAATGGCGTTTTCGTAATTTCCGGATGCAGCATGGTACGGTAGGTGTACGTGGTTCCGTGGTAGTACGTTGAGCGTACGCTAATACGCATGGCGTACGTAGCCACGGTGCAAACCCTAATTTTTTAGGGTTTAGACCCTATTTAAGTACCACTATATCCCCATGCACCCTCTTATCTTCAGTCCCCTTCCTCATTTCGAAACCCTAAAGTGTGTGAGTGCATTGTGAAGCTTGAAGAGCCCTTTTTGTGTCATTTTGGAGACTTTGGAGTAGAAGGAAGAACCTTGAGGTTGTAATGTTTCACTCAAGGCATTGGATCCAGCATCTAATTCCCTTGGTGCATCTTTTGGAGGTATAAAAGCTTCAACCTTGATGTATATTTCTTATGGATCTAGCTTTAGCTCAAAGTTGCCATCTTTTTGTCCCAAACTTGGTCTTGGTGAGTAGGAGTTACTCCACGACGTTTGAAGTGTCCTTTCAGAGGTTGTAGGAGGTGTTAAGTCATAAAAATGTGTTCTTGGTCATTAGTTTCTTTCCATGCAAGAGCTAGATTGTCTTAATGGGTAAAGAAGCTAGGGTTTTTGGAGCTAAGGTCTTAATAGTCATGCTAAACCATAAAGTTGGAAACTTAATGGTTAAGGACATCTTTTTGAGCCTAAATATGGATTTTGGACGTAAGTGCTTAAGGATAAAGCACTTAATGACTTAAATGGTGAGCAGCCGCGTACGCTATGCGTACCAAGAAGTACTTTGTGCGTACATGGTCAGCTCCCCGACTCCGGTCAACCATGCAGTACGCCCTGCGTACGTAAGGAGTACGCCCAACATACTCACTGAGTTAAATCGATTGACTCAGTTGACTTTGATCTAGATTTTGACTAGGGTTTGACCTAGGGGCGTTTTAAGTATTTTGGTCTATATGATGAGCTTGTGTCATTGAATTTATTAAGGTGTTTGGTAGAGTTGATCTCGGAGCGGCGTGTTTTTCAGTTTACTCATCTGGCTGTGAGATGAGTTTTCTCATTGTATCCATGGGTCGAAGGCACCAATGTCGGCCCAATTACTTGTTGTGTAGAATGATAGTTGCTTTGTGATACTTGCATAGAGGTAGATAGAGTTTTTTTTATATTTTATTTAATGTGAATACATCTACATGTTCATTAGCACATAAAGGTAACAATGATTGGAACAATATTTCCAGTATACTAAAAAGACATGAAGTAAGTAACGGACACATTCTTAATATGACGTCATGGATTGACTTAGAAACTAGATTAACAAATAACAAAACAATTGACAAGCAAATCCAAGAACAAATAAATAAAGAAAAAGAACATTGGAAAAATGTGTTAATAAGAATCATTGTTGTAGTAAAAACTTTAGGAAACAATAATTTAGCATTTCGTGGAACAAATGAAAAGATTTATGAAGAAAATAATGGTAGTTTTTTAACTATAATTGAAATGATTGCGGAATTTGATCTTATTATGCAAGAACATATTAGGAGAATTAATGACAAAGAATTTCATAATATTATCTTGGACACAATGAACTTATTAGTTTATTAGGAGAAGAAGTTAAAAGTAAAATTATTAAAAAAGTAAAAGAGGCTAAATACTTTTCAATACTACTTGATTGTACTCCCGATACAAGTCATAAGGAACAAATGTCAATTATCTTACGATGTTTAGATCTTTCAACAACTCCAATAGAAGTTAAGGAGTACTTTCTAGAATTTTTAATTGTAGATAATACAACCGGTAAAGGCTTATATGATGTTATAGTTAATGAAATTAAAAATATAAGACTAGATATAAATAATGGTAGGGGTCAAGGTTATGTCAATAGATCAAATATGAAAGGAAAACAACATGGTGTACATAAATGATTGTTAGATATTAACCCTAGAGCATTCTACACTCCTTGTGGTTGTCATAGTTTAAATTTAGTAATTTGCGATATGGCTAATTCATGTAATAAAGCTAGTGAATTATTTTTGAGTTATACAACATATATATTCGATATTTGTTTCATCAACTCAAATGTGGAAAATATTACAAGATAATATATCAAACCTAACACTTAAATCATTATCGCAAACTCGTTGAGAAAGTAGGGTAGAAA